CCGATGAACTAATTCTTGAGAAACAGAAAGCAGAGCAAATTAAATAAAGGGAGCATGGATTCACTGAGGCCATGAGATGATTGAGATCGACCATTTGCAACCTTTTTTTTGTGTGTGTGTCACAGCCACAAACACAATATGAAAGAAATATAGGCCAAATCAGGATTGTAAAAGTCAGATAATGAACCTTATAAGGTGGTGTGCGAATAATCGTCTCCAACCTGTGCACTCATCAAATGTGCCCCGCTGAGAATGGCTGCTTTAGATAAAGTTGCAGAAGAAATAGGTTCTTAGGGTAAGGAAACCATGATTTGCAACAATGTGCAACAGCACTGAGATTTCTCCTGTCTACTTAACAGGCATATATGTAACAGAAAATGCCAGATATGTCTTAATAACAGGCTCAAGTGGTTTGGTTCTCAGCTTTTGCTGAAAATAAATATGCTCTTGGAGCTCGTAATGAAAATGAAAATGTACACTTCATTGCTTCTGGAAATCCTTTTGGAGATAGATCAAATGAGAAATCTTAACGTGCAATTAGACAATGAGAAAGGATTGTGTCTGATTGCACTGGAAACGGTCTTTTTGCTGGGGGTAACCTTTAAAGCAACTGTCCATCCATTCACTCCAACCCAACCTCCATAGGTACTCATTCCTCCAGATACCTTTTTCCAAGCCACAAGGAATCCTCATAACTCCAATGGTGCAGCAGGATACTTTTTGAATGATTCGAAGAAGCAGTGCAGAAACAGCACTATGGTAAGGGGCCTCCCAGTTTAAGTGTTCTTGGTTCCATAATTCAGCCTGGGAAGTTCTTGTTGAATTATGAGACTGGCAGTCTTTGAATTCTAAAAATCGCATCCCTGCCCCCAACTTCTGGTTCTCTAGCCAGGTACCCCACCCTCTGAGCCCTCCAGCCCTGACTGTTGTGTGTCGTACAACTTCTTGATCTTTCTCTGGTTGCCCTTCCAAGTTAAGAGAAGGGCTGGAAATTCAAGTGTCTAGAGCATACACAAGAGTGATTTGAGACCCTGGCAGTGCTGTCAGTACAATTGAAGCTCAGTAGGGTGACGGAGACGTCTAAGAACATTCTCGAAACACCTCTAGTCAGGTAATTAGAGGTATTGTTGTTCAACAGACAACTGATAAGTCAGAAAAGAAATCAAATATGAAAGAAAAAGTTTATACACTGAGAAAAGGAAGAGTTCTTGGTTAACGCAAGGGTTGTGTATAGGTTGGAAATCGAGAGCACTCTGCAATTGCCCAATGATCCCCAGTTTGCAGTTACACATGCTGGAGAATATTGAAAAAATTTGAGGAAGGGGTTAAAGAAGTGCCCCTTTTACAAGTGGCAATATTCTGCAGAGGCAGCTCAGAATGAGTTGACTCTCCAAAAGCCTCTTACAGAGAAAAGTCTCTGATAAAGGGATGGACGGGTGATTTAAGACCTTCCCAGTGTTGCTACATCAGGGCGTATTGGTGAATCTAACTTTCATAAATTCCATAGATTCAGTGGGCCTACTCTAGTTGTGACTTACTACTGGATTTCAGCCATTGCATGTGAAATGCTTTGAATAATACTTATTAATGGAAAAGGTAGCTGTATGATCTCTCTGTAAAAACCATTTTTCTTCCATACATCCAAAGCCTTCCTTACATGATGAAAAGTTTTGAAAGACCCTGAACGCTTGCTATGTTTGTAACTTTAAATAATCCAATAAAATTATTACCCAACCCAGAACTTAGTATATTTTTAATGCTTCAGCTTGATTTACATTTTCCACAAAATCTAACACAAAACCCTATTATAACAATCAACTTATCACTGGATTCAGAATTATTTAAAGGAGAGCCTTGCAGACAATGGGAGAAGGAAAAAAAAATAAAGGTAGCTGGCTGAGAGAACGGTTCATTATTATAGAACGAGACTACATATTAAAATGTCAGCACCAACCGATGGGTTTTTAATGTGGAGCCATAATAACACAGGTAAGTTGCCAGAGCCAAATGTTAAAGAGAGAAATTCTTTAAAAGAGGGGTGTAATTTCCTCCTCCACTGTGAAAAAGCACTGGGTAAAAATTGATTTTCCACGGTACAGGCACCACACACAGGTTCTCCCAGAAGAAAACAGCTGGTGTTCATGCAACCCCAATACAAAACCAAAGTTTCTGGCATGATTATATTGTGGAAAGGACAGAGGTAATTACAAACATTGCCAGGGCTTGACTACTATATGAACTATTTCTTTGTTATGCATAAATATAGGGCAAAAATGTAGATTGGTGCTTTTGAAAAAATTTACCTTGCCTATTCCCAAAACCATGAGGGCCCAACTATGAATTGTTACAGGGCAGTTTGTCATCACAAGACAGAAGTCCTTATGCACCAAAATGTTTGATTGTCATACCACGAGCATTTTGTGCCTTCCATAGATTGCAAATTAACTTGTTTTGTGCTTGGTCTTTTGGACCTGGGCTTTATTTGCAAGTTTGCTTTCTCAGGCATGAAGGACTGCCTGAAGTCTAAATCAGTGGTTCTTAACCTTTGTTACTCGGATGCTTTTGAACTGCAACTCCCAGAAACCCCAGTCAGCACAGCTGGTGGTGAAGGCTTCTGGGAGTTGCAGTCCAAAACTCCTAAGTAACCCAAGATTAAGAACCAGTGGTCTAAATGACAGCCACCCTTAATATAGAGTGAGAATATAAAGAGCTTGCTGCTACTAGATTTTAGGAAACCTTTGAAGCCCAATTTTACAGAACTGACAGCCATGAGAAACAATGATATAAAAACCACTAGGCACAATGGTGAAGAAGGAATCTTTAATCTTCTCATTTATTCACTCTCCAATATATCACCGATGATTGTTTGCCCTTATTACATCTGAATTGCACTTATGGGTAAAATATTTTGTTGCTGTTCCAAATTGATCAAATCCAAAGCTAGCAGGAAACAAATAAGAAATTTTTCAAGCCAACGGAGACAGGAAGGTTTGCCTCCTTCAGGAAGTGTGTAGAAATGTTACATTTATGGACAACTCCCAGAATCCCTCAGCTATTATGGTGACGGGAGGATTATGGGAGCTGTCATCCAAAAAGTTAGCTTTTCCATACTCTTGTTTGTGAGATGTTGTTGCAGCCAAACAATATCTGGAAGTCCACATGTCAACCATCTCTTCTTCACCGAGAATAGCTCCTTTGGCAGAAGGCCGCCTGAGGCGATACCCAGGCCATTTTGCAAGAGTTTCTTAAGGGATGAATAAACAACTTTGCAAGCCAGCAGAAAGGGTTGCCTCTTGCTTTCTGATGAACAAAGAGAAAGCTTTAGCTGCGGACATAGTAGATTTTTTCTTTGTCATGCTTTTATGTTATGCCTGCACTATTGCTTTATTACAGTTTACGTATGGGCTTCACAAATGGTCTTGTTCTGTTTCTAGTAAAGGTTCCCCTTGACAACTTTTGTCCAGTCGTGTTCGACTCTAGGGGGCGGTGCTGATCCCTGTTTCGAAGCCATAGAGCCAGCGTTTGTTCGAAGACAATCTTCTGTGGTCACATGGCCAGTGCAACTTAGACACGGACCGCTGTTACCTTCCCACCGAGATGGTACCTATTTATCTACTTGCATTTGCATGCTTTCGAACCACTAGGTTGGCGGGAGCTGGGACAAGCGATGGGAACTCACTCCGTCGCGTGGATTCGATCTTACGACTGCTTGGTCTTCTGACCCTGCAGCACAGGCTTCTGCGGTTTAGCCCGCAGCGCCACCACGTCCCTTTGTTCTGTTTCTAATTACTGTACTGTTAAATAGCTTTTAGCTCAACTCTCTTACATGATGTGCACTTGAACTTAAAATTGTCTCTGGTTTAATGGCAACTTCCACTTCTTCTTCTTTCTAGAGCTTTCAGCTTTGCCCTCCTCCTGGCAGGTTTCACTTTGAAACAATTTAGAATAGGGGTGGAGGGGAAAGGTTTATAAGCACTTGGGGGGAGGGAGTTTACTCTTCCTCTTTAGAGGGAAAACAAATGTGTTTTTCTCCCAGATCTGCCAAGCCTGTGTTTTAATGATTTAACAGATGGAGTTGGCACATATGAACCTGCAAGATGCATCTGTCTGATTTTTTCCAGTCTGAAGATTTTTTTTTGCTGCATTAATAGTGCAGACGATGGTAAAATATCACCTCCCCAGGCTGCTCTGCTCGCCTAACACATAATGCCTTTTAAGTCGTGGGAGGGAGGGAGAGTAGACTGGGGTGAGGGAAAGGCCAAAGAAATGAGATTTTGAAAACTAATAATTTCCATCCTCACTGCAATCCATCCTCAGTGTGACAAATTCACTGTGCAGACTTACATCCAATTGCTACCCAGTCTTACTTGTCCTGACCTCCCAGTGCTGCTAATTACTTACTTATAGATAAATAAACATGGCTTATATATAAGATGGGCAAGAAGCACTGGTACTTCTGTTTTTAATTACTGCAGCTTGAAATATTGGCTCTTTTTGTAATTTCTAGATGAATAGGAAGTTTTTTAGAATCCTGCTATCAATTCAGGACTCTTTCATGAGGCAACCAGAAGTGGAGCTACAATCACAGGATGTCCACAAACATCTCAATTTCTTGGACAGATAGCTCAGCTATAGAGTTCTGAATCAGGGCACATCCCCACGATGCAATTTAGCAATCTGATACGATCAGTGCCTTTTCCCTGTCTTTACCTGCTTGTTTTGTTTTTGTTCATAGCTGAAAGGTTGGCTTATTTTGTTCCCAGGGCTAGAGGTTAGCATTAGGACACTTTCAGGTTCACTTCCACACAGTGATTTTCAACCAACAGCCTTAATGTTACTGGGTTGTTGTTGTTGTTATTGTTTGTTGTTTGTTTGTTGTTTGTTTTTTGAGTTATTGGTTTTGGGGGGAGAGCTTCAGAGACAAATCTCCATCAGAGAATTTGATCTATAAGACTTTATAAAGTTTTCTTCCAGAAACTAGTAAATTTTGAAAATGTGTCTTCTGCAATCCAATGCAAATGTGAATCCTGATAAGCCACAGTATGAATCAACCGTGATTAAGCTAGAATGAAGCTTCTGCCTGGCTAGATAGCCTTCAACTGAGCTGTAGATATGGAACCAAAGTTATCTTTAGCTGCAGCACTACCTATGGCCTTCTGTGATTTCACTTGAAGCAGAGCACACATCGCACACAATACTGTATTGCCACCAAGTTGTGGGTGTGTATATTTAGACCTGAAATAGAAAGAGTGTTATGGGTAGTAGCTAAATTGCACAGGAAAGCTTCAAATCTGTTCCTTCCTGTTTCAGAAATTATGCACTGTATCAGAAGACAGGAGATGCTGTATCAAGGCAGGACAATGGCGGATAATCAAGAGACAGCACAAAAACTGGGGTATTAAGAAGAGGCCTAATTTGGGAGGGAGAGATTAGACCATCAACCTTGGATATAGTATCAGAGGTTAGACCAAGAATTCAGCATTCCTGAATTTTTTCTTTTCATGGATGTCTCATCTCCTGCAACGGGAAGGAAGAGTTGAGTTTGGCTCAATTCTTATCTGAACAAAGCACATCAAACTGTGTAACACTCAATGTAAACACACAAATATAACAGTTTGAAGGAATTCAATCAGGTTGGATCATTCAAATGAAAAGCCTTTTGGGCTCATGTGCCTCCCAAGAGTTGCAACATAACCCTGCAGTCATTAAAACTCTGATCTGCGTCTAATTGATGGTAATGACAGGATGCCCATTCATTTCCTTGGTGCATGATCAGAGTCCAGATATTCTCCTAAATTATATATGTAACACTCTGGCTTCTGCACAAGTACGAGGAAATGAAGGAAACAATAGAGCCTCAAACAAAACAAATTGACGATTATAAATGGCTTCCTAAAAAAAATCCTCCTATCTTTGTTTACTTGCACAGATATTTCTGTAAGATAATGAAGATTAATCACTCTCTTTTGATGGCTTAATAGCATGCTAATACATGGCATCTTTTCCATTCTGGTTCCCCCTTTCCCAGCCAGCTTTTTCCATCATTCAATGCACTTAAAACTTCATAAGCAGCTCATGATGGCTTCCAGTTGGGCAACTCGTAGCCACTATTTTAAAGAGATGGCTGATGTCACCAACCATAAGACATTTCAGGACGGGGGGACCCCTGCTAGTCTGTTGCAATAAAGACAACAGAGTTTTGGAGCACCTTAAAGATGAACAATTTCCATTTGGGATCGAGTGTTTCCTCATTTAGCGGATATTAACTTGCCCACTTGGATGAGAAAGAGACATGGGAGACTGGAAATACAAAAGATGTGAATATGGATCCCTGTCTTAAGACAGGTCATTAACAAACCCTAGTAAACAAGTAGCATCAGTTATCCGCCCAATGAGGTGGTCCTGTCCATCTGATGAAGTGGACTGCAGTCCATGAAAGCTCTTTGTCTGATCAAATGTGTTAGCATTTCTGCTACTGCTGACCTCTGTGCTGTTGTTCTAAGCAGAAAGCTATTGTGCAGTTAGTTCCGTCTTTTCCTCTTCTGTGGATTTTCCATGGGAAGAGAAAAGAAAGAACCAGTAATGGGAAAAGATAGGAGGGTTATAAGTGGAGATGACAGTATCTGGAAACTCTGCTCTTCTCTCCCATAACCCCAATAAAATTTAGTGAAGAATCTTTGTCTGAAGGTGCTGAAATCAATATGAGTTATTTCTAAGTAACACAGCAGTTGGTACCACTGTTTTCCACCATTTTGTTTTAAAAGGTTAATAGAGTAAACATTTTAGGTTTTCTATTCACTTAATGTGAACATCAGGTTCAATTCTTTCTTTTTCTCTTTCAATTAACTGTTATATAACCAAATGGAAACGTCACATGCTCTAGTAGTATAAAACACATTCTAATCAGCAGTAGGATAATTAACTGAAAACAATTTGTTACTACATAGGTCTGGGCAAAGCCCTGAGTCCCTACAAAACTTATGTTTTGCTAAAAGGAAGGGACCTCCACATGCCAGATGCAGGGGAGGGGGATCAGGAGACAGGGATCTAGTTGTCTCGTGTGCTCCCAGAGGCATCTGGTGGGGCCACAATGAGATACAGGAAGCAGGACTAGATGGGCCCCTGGCCTGATCCAGCAGGGCTCTTCTTATGTTCTTATGTTATGACAAACAAACACGAACCATTCCTCCTATGGTATTCTGGGCATGTAACTGAAAGCAGAGTGTTTCTCATCTGATGAGACAGCCTGTTACTTTAGATAAAATGCTAGCACTTTAAAAGGTCATGATACTGATTCCAAAAAAAATTTATGAAAGGGGTTGCAAGAGTGGCTTTCATTAGGTGATTTCCCCCACTTAAAATATTAGAACCCTGTTTAGACGCTATAAGTATATATCTTCCTTATACCATCATCTTAGAACTGCAGAGCTGGAAGGGACCCTATGGTCACTGAGTCCAGACCCTATCAAGGAGACACAATAGGGAATTGAACTTCTAAACCACCGAGCTATCTAGAGTCCTAAAGATGTCATAGTGTGACTCTTCAAGCTGAAGCTCATGGGAATTGCAGTCCAGCAACAAGTAGAAAGCTGGACTTTGCTCACATGCTATAGACTCAAAAGCCTTCACTACCACTTCTGCTGGCCAGGATTTCTAGGCGTTGAAGTCCCAGAACATCTGGAGGCCCAAGGTTGGGGACCAGTGCTATAGAGAAGATGCTCTAAGTTCCGGCCTTGATTCCTTTACTGCTACCTTCTGCTGAAGGAGAAGTTCTGCAAAAGAGCTGTAACTCCATGGGTCCAAAGCAGTTAAAGAACTCCTGAGATCAGAAATTCTGATAAGGTAGAGTTCCTGGTTAAGTGAAACTTTGTCATCATGCCTACCTGAAGAAATCATGTCTAGGAACTTCTGTACTCAAAGTCTGGACCTATGACTTTCATCAGTTCAGTACCAGACAAATACTACTGAAGAAAACACCAGCTCAGCTACTGCTTACCTGTTCCTTGTTTTAGGAAGGCTGTCTGCCCTCAGATTTAGGTATCACATGTATATGAAACTCTTCCATTTGTTTCTTGCTTGTCTTTAAAGTTATTTTCAAAGTGAACAACTGCTCCAAGGATTGGGAAGATTTTTCAGTTAACAACATAGGCACTAGCCAATCAACCCCATTCTCAGCTGGCTTCTTCTACAGATTTGGAAGATATATTTTCTTCTTTTCCCCTGAACCTGAAGCTGGAAAGGAGAAGCTCTTTTTGAACATCATGAGGAACAGGCTAAGAAGGCACATTGTTTAAAACTATAGTAGGTGCTCACTCTTTGTCTGTGAATATCTATCTGTATTGGAATGATTCCACTGTATATTTCACCTTTTTATACCTAAACCCCACTCCAGTTACGTTATTTCAGGTAATGAATCCAGAAATGTTTATCAAGTCCATGGTATATTATTTTGTTAACTGATCTTAGCTGGCCTAGAACAGCTTCATTAAGATGAAAATGTGGCATGCAACAAAAACTTAAAATTGACTTAGAAATGTGCATTTTACAGTGTCATGCATTGCTGGTCATAATCAGACTAAGCCATAAGCCATCTCTGTTATTATTGCATGGCTATGACTCCACTAAAGTTCTCATGTGCTTATATTTGTCCATACATTCCACACTTACATTTTGGATCTATAACTTGCTCAAGTAGTGTGTTGCTCTTAAAGTTATGAGTAATTAGTTTTAAGTAATGTATTGCTTTTGAAAACTAATGAGTAAAACTTAATATGCTACTTAAAAATATATTGCAAGCCTTTAGGGAAAAATATCAGAATGGGGACATATCAGTGGCTGAAATCCTGTTGCATATTGTAGTAAGTCGTGACTAGAATATGTCCATTGAATCAGTGGGGATTTCACAAATCAACTCTTTTGTAGGTTCCATTGATTCAATGAACCTACTCTAATTGTACTTCACTAAGCAACAGCATTTCAGAGAGTATTTCTTTAAACCCAATGGATTCTTTGTCACTTATTTCCGTTTTCCCATTTAGACACTGATTCCTGAGATTTTTGCATTCTTGAGAATTTGGGTGGGTAAAAGTTTTCATTTTTCCAAAGCATTCCCCAAGAAACAAAATTATAATTCCTAGATGATAACTTCTCACAAATTGATAGCACAATTAATAATACTACAGTGGACCCTTGACTTACAGATGGCTTGACTTACAGACTTTTTGAGTTACAGACTTCTCTGGCCGCAAAATTTAGGTTTGACTTGCAGCCTGAGAATTGACTTACAGACCAGAAAAAAACCAAAATGGAACAAAAACGGCCTGTTACGGGATTAATCGGTTTTCAATGCACTGTAGGTCAATGGAGACTTGACTTACAGACTTTTTGACTTGAGAACCGCCTTCCGATACGGATTAAGTTCTCAAGTGAAGACCCCATTGTAATGTTACGTGTAATGGAAAACAAATTCAGGGAAACATAGACCTGTCAAAATGAAAAGGGTGTCTTGATGCTTTTTCTCTGAGGGCTAGCAAATAGACAATGCAATGTATTTTTGTCTGAAGTATTATATTTTAGTTTTCCATTGTACATCATACACAGCCTTGACCAAAACATGTCGGTGCTGCTGCATTCATAGCAAAGCTGCGCTGTGTACCGAGTTCACTAAACACAGTACATTTACTTTTTAATGTCTTTAATGTCAACGTCTGTATGAAAAGACTGGACTGCTTCAGTAACAATTCTGTTCCTATTATTTTTGTGGTGCATGAATTGCTGAAAGTCCTTAAATGGGCTCTCCTTTCCCCTATGCATCAAACTCCCACCTTGAATCTACAGAGCGCTCTGTGCCAGTAGCCATGCTAGTTGGAGGGTTCTGGGAGTCATGGTCCAAAAAGGTAATGCTTCTGAGGTTAGCATTTACCTGCACACCTCTCCTTGCCATCTGTCTCTTCTCTATTTCCTAGGTAAAGGTAAAGGTTCCCCTTGACATTTAGTCCAATTGTGTCAGACTTTAGGGTGCAGTGCTCATCCCTGTATCCACGCCATAGAACCAGTGTTCGTCCAAAGACCGCTTCCATGGCCAGCGCAACTAGACACGGAACATCGTTACCTTCCCACCGTGATACCTATTTATCTACTCGCATTTGCATGCTTTCAAACTGCTAGGTTGGCAGGAGCTGGGACAAGTGATGGGAGCTCACTCCGTCGTGTGGATCTAATCTTACGACTGCTAGTCTTCTGACCCTGCAGTACAGAGGCTTCAGCAGTTTAACCCACAGCACCACCACATCCCTATTTCCATTTCCTAGGCTTCAGTTTTATCCAGCCATTCTCTTTTCTCCTCTGCCTTTACCTCCTTTTTTTTTTCCATCCGATCTATGCCAGATGGCCTGTTCTGTTTGTAAGCATAGTAACAGAGTTCAGTCTCGAACAAGGGCTTTTGAATCCCACTTCTAACATCAGTATTACCAGGCCTGAAAGCAACCTTCCATGGGTTAGACTGAAGTTTGGGAGATCTCGTTGCTGGACAACCTGTTGCTTTTGCTGACTCATCATTTAGCATCTCTAAGAACTGGTAAGGCACATGTATACTTGCAGTTTTATTAACAGCTACGTATGCAGGCAAGTTTTAAACGTCTCCATGTATCTTCCCCCTCAGGATTTTGTACAAAATTATACAGAACGTCAGTTGTTCTTGGTTCTCTTTACTTCCCCCTAATCTGTATTCCTATTAAGTGTACTATAAATCTTTCTGTTGATGACTTTTCAAGCTGATTTCTTAAAAGGGAGACATCATTTCAGTAAACGAGGATGTCATTCTAATTGGCTTGAGGTTCGGCTCTTGCCATTTTGTTACTTTTTAATTGTTCCTACTGCACTGCCCTTTGCCTTGAAGGAAGAAAAGGGGAGCCGTTCTCCTCGCTTTTAGAAAGAAAGGCTTCAAGATACAATCCTGCACCAACACATCTTTCCATCAGACAGCTGCAGGCAAGAGGGTGACCATTTGCACACCACCAAAAAGGAGGACAAAAAAGGACGCGATTTGCATAAAATTACATGTGTTCGTTTGTATGTACAGATGCACAATTAGCAATGATTCTTACAATTTAAACAGAATAACAATGCTTACATGGAGAAGACAGGGACCAGGTGACTGGCATGCCTGCTGAGTCAGCTGACCCAAGTCCAGCTCACATCGAAGGTTCACTTTAAGGTCCCCACTCACTTTTTTGTGTCATTCTTTCTCTTTAAATAAGATTTGGATTCGGCAGCCTTTCACTCTCCTCCCCAATAGAGTACATATATGTTCACCCTAGCCTATGTGGCTATGGGAAATAGGATACAGTGAATTCACCCTTGGAAAACAGATTGAAAAGAACAGTTTTCACAGGTCAGTCAGGGAAGGTACAGCAGAAAATTCAAAGCCAAAGGCCAAAAGTTAAAAGGAAGTCACTTACATGGGTGCAGGAAATAGACAGCATCAAAGAAGAAGAATTAGCTTAAGGTTCAAAGAATCCAAAGTAAACAATATTCAGCAACAAGAATAGTACCTGTTGTTTCCAGAAAAAGCCTGGGAAGGAGCTTTATAATTATTGATCTGAACCCCTCCCCATTTCAGCTGCATTCACTCTGACCTCAGGTGTTGGAAATCTTCCCAGGCAGCACCTGCGGGCTCAGAAGTTTTGTTCAAGTGCCTTAAGCTGACAGCGCTCTAAGAAGCATGGCAAGCTTCACGTGGCCAAATTCTGTGCGGCAGCAATGGTTATTCGTAATCAAATGTTTTTTAGTAGGTGATTTTAGATGGATATGTTTTTAATATAACTCTGAGGTTTTACTTATATTAAGGATACATGATGTTATTAACTGGAAAGAATGGATTGTTTTATTATGTTTTAATGGAATTTTATTACCCTGTCTGACTTTACCAAACTATAACTATATGTATCTATTTTGTGTTGATTTGGTTTTACTGGTCTTTGACCGTAATAAAGTATTCATTCATTCGTTCATTCATGGCAAGCTTTCCTCCTCACCCTCCTCTGGCTGAACATTTGTTCCTTCCTCTTCCAGCTTTTTTGGCTCCTTCAGATCCTCTTCCAAGGAGGAGGACTGTGACAACCCCAGACCTACTGGAGTATACCACACTTTAATTATGCTGCCACCAACCATTCCCTATAAGGAGTCACACAGACTAGGAATGGATTTTACTAAACAAAAGAACAAGGTTTATTGATATAACAAACAGGGTAAATAAAAAGATCTGGTAAATAAGATACTGTAACGTGGCTTAGTCTCAGTCATACATACAACAGTTTGGTTCACACAGAACAGGTATGGCACTAACAGCTTCTGAAAGCAATTGGGCCAGAGCTATAGAAGGCCTTAGTTTCTGTTGCACTGGGTTGTTGTCAACCATCCCACCTAGCCATCTGATACACTCAACACTATCTAATATTTAATTCTAGTTTATACATTACATTGATAAAGTGGTGCCTCACTTAACGAGTGCACCGTATAACGACGAATCTGCATAGCGATCCCTTTTTCAGGATCGCTAATGCGGAGGCATACTGATCGTTCCAATGGGCAAAACTCGCATAGCGATGATCGGTAAGCGTTTCACTTACCGATCTTCGCTTTGCGATGCCCGCGGATCAGCTGTTCGGTGGTTCTAAAATGGCCGCCGGATGCCCAAAATGGCCACGCGCAGCGTTTTCACGCCCTCCCCTCGCTTACCGAGGGTGCGAAAATGGCTGCCGCTATGGAGGAAACTTCGCTGAACGGTAAGTTTAGGGCCCATTGGAACGCATTAAATGATGTTTAATGCGTTCCAATGGGTTTTTACGTTCTGTTTAGCAATGTTTTCACATAGCGAGGGTTAATCCGGAACGGATTAACCCTCGCTATGCGAGGCACCACTGTACCTCCCAACTGGTAAATATCTTTGAGTGGGCTTCCAATCTAAAAAATCCAGAACAATCAATAAAACAATAGCGGGGGTGGGGGTGGGAGTCAATATGGCAATACAAATCCAAACAGAGAGACACTCCCTTACAGTATCAAAATACCAAATTATGAATGCGCAAAGGACAAATCCTTTGCTTTTTAAAAATGACAGGATTTGTATTAAAGATATTTCTATATTTCACTTGTGACATATGCTCTTAAATATTTTGCGTTTTAATGCAAGTTACAGAACAACCCTATCCAATACCTCCTAAAGGATGGGTGGTTGTTGGATGCGGTAGAAATACCAGCCCTCCAAGTGGTTTGCCCTGGAGGGTTCTGGTGCACCTGCACAAAGCTGCAAGTGTGCAACCATCAGACCTGCCAGAGTTGCCATTAAAGCAGGGCTCAAAACAGCTTTCCCCTGGATCCCCTTCAATCAACAAGATATATGGCTGCCAATCTCCATCAGCATGGCCTTGGAGAAGTAAGTTGAAGTGTCAGGATATGACCCACACCACCCTGGCGCCTGCAGGATCTGGATCAGCCTGACCCAGGAGTGGCCGGGTATTTGCAGGCTCAGGCCCTGACCTGTGTTGCCGCTGCTGGGCCACTCATGAGGCTGACCTGGAAACCTGGAGGGAAGGCCTATTGAAGGAGTGGTTCTTCCTCCCAGATCTTACCTCATCAACAAAGGTTTCCAGCTGTGCTATCTGTCTTGCTGCTCCTGAGTCCCTACATTCCAGTATTCCTGCATCTGCTCCTGTTTTTGCCTTGGTCCCTACGCTTGCCACCTACATCCCTGCATTTGGACTCAAGTGTTCCTGCCTTGGCCTTTTCACCTTGGTGCCTTGTTCTGGCTCTATGCTCCTAGCCCTGGGCTCCCACCTCTGCTTGGTCATGACCAACTGCTCAGTGAGTGCCTTTAGAGTTGATACTTTGCATGGTGGACTGGGTCCTAGTGCCCTTGCCCTTGGTGAGAGGCTGCTTGGGATATCTTGGACTGTGACATCAAGGACTACACTAACATATAGCTGATAGAGTTATTTTCCATACGCCTGGGTTCATTGGATGTCCGGGGGGGGGGGAATGTTTCAACTGCCACAAAAATAGAGGAAGCAATATTCCTCACAATGTCAAGATGTGAAATTTTGAATACATTGTGTGTTCAAATAATTAGGGAGAAGTAGAAAAAGCAGCTCTGAAAATGAACGTTATGCTTTAAAAATGAGGTTTGAACATGAAGTTTACTAAAACTTGCTGCAAAACAATCAGCCCCTTCAGAAAAGATAGCCAGCGCAAGGAGCAAAGAATAACAGGGGAGCACCATGCGAGGGGTGAAAACTCTGTGGGAGGTGGGAAACCTTTTTTTTTACTATATTCTAATATATTTAGAATATATTAGAATTGCTATATTCTAATTTTATAATTCCTTATGCTATAGTCCAGTGGCCCCCAACCTTCAGTAACTTAGGGGTTCTTGGACTGCAACTCCCATGAACCCCAACCCGCACAGCTGCTGATGAATGCTTCTAGGAATATCAGTCCAAGAACACCTGGGTGACCCAAGGTTGCGAACCACTGCTCTAATCTATTTATTATACTATCTGCTAAGATACTTGCGGAGAAGTGACTTGACTGAAAGTTAATTTCCTTAACTTAGTATATTTCTGTAATACTTTTTTTACTTGTTTATTATTTGGAACACTTTAGCTGAAGTCCTATTATTCCACTCTGAAGCACTAAGTTCTCTACGTTTTGTTAGAGCACTTACATTTTCCATTCAGTTCATTAAGCTGTCATAGTTATATTCCTAAAACAGTATATTACAATTTTGTTACAATGTTTGAATATTCAATAAATAGAAAACAATAGATTACCTTTATATCGACTTGAAAGTGCCTGTTCAATATAAAGAAGAAAAAGTAGAGATTTTCCTGGGCATTCATTTTATCTATCTTGCTCAGGGCAAAGAAATTGAAGGATATTTAAAAGAAGAGAGTAAATTGTACAGAATACAAAATATTCCTCTAGTTCATAACAGACTTACAATTTTGGGATAAATGGCAGCTGTGACAAATGCAGCCAGCTGACCCACCACCATCCCCAGAAGTCTATAAACATCTTGCTATTGTTTAAGGTTACAATAGAAATGTAACAATTAAACCTTTTTTATTGAAAAGGGGAAATAATTGTCAGAAACAAATTGTAGTTGTCAGAAAAAAATTGAAGATCTATGTCTAATACTATACTAGAAAATTAATATAAGCAAGATTAGAGAACATAAGAAGTAGGACGTCACAAGCTGTCTGCACAGTAGCTTTTAGAGGGTTAAATGCTTGAGGTATGAGGGTCAGCACCATACTATGATAACTATCTGAGATGGATAAGACTTGGAAATTATTATGCATTTCTTACCCTTTTAAAATGCAAAGGGATATTTTTATACTTGAGTATCTAGACTAAATTCCTTTCAATATTTAATTCTGTGTCAAAATATTACATGTACAAGTTCAGGTAATAAAAAATTTATCAGAGTTTTGAAAAATTTAGTGTTTGGATTATACAAATTTGAACAGAACTCAGAGACACCTTAATGTTAAAGGGTAGATATGCCACCACTTACATCGGGATAGCTTTTGTGTATTTTGTACATCTTGTTGTGAAATAAAAATTGAAAATATTAAGAGATATTTTAGCAAATAAGAAGGAATAAAATCCATTCTGACTTCCAAATAGATGCCTCTGTTTTTTAAAAAATGACATTCACCTTCTCTTAGCCTTACATCTCAACCTTTTGGTAAATTATAAATCAAGCTTTGAGTTATAACTTTTTTCTTACAAGGACAGTAAGTGAGATTCTACTGAAGAATAATGCATCTCTGTCTTCAAAGCGGCTCAGCTAAAGTTCAGAGCTAGAAAAACAAAGTGACTCAGAGAACAGGTCATAAGTTTTAAAGCAGGGCCTTTAGTGTTCAAATTTCTACACTGCCATGTTAAGTTAACGAGGTAGTCAAGCTACATTCTCAGAGTTCTCGGCTCTGCCCGTGGTGTTATGTCATAAACCTGAGAAGGATGCTTTATGAGTTACTTAGGTAATGAATGCAGGCAGGGTATTTAACATATTCAGGGGTAAATGGAATACTGATAGGTATGTTTCAAGCCACAGAGAATGAATCTTGTCAAAATCCTAACAAGAATATGTCAATAAAAATGAAAAGTAAAACAAGGGCGTCCAGACTGGAAACATTCAATATATGTTCCAATTGCTAAGAAAGGGGATGCGAAGGATTGCAGTAACTATAGGACCACTGTATTCTCGAAGGCTTTCATGGCCGGGATCCGATGGTTGTTGCAGGTTTTTTGGGCTGTTTCGCCGTGTTCTTAAGGTTTTTCTTCCTAACGTTTCACCAGTGTCTGTGGCCAGCATCTTCAGAGGTCAGGAGCACAGACAGAGTTCCTACTCCAGTTCTCTGAAGATGCTGGCCACAGAGACTGGTGAAACGTTTGGTAGAAAAACCTTAAGAACACAGCTAAACAGCCCGAGAAACCTACAACAACTATAGAACCATTGCTTTAATTTCCCATGCA